CTCACCATGAAGCATGGTGGAAAGGCAGCTGGCAAGCCTTCAAGGAGGGGCGACAGAGGAGATAGAGGGAGAGGTGTAAGTTCTCCCTCTTCCCCCCAAACTGAGACGCAGCCTCTTTCCAACAACTAGCCAGAAGCAGCAAGGAGAGGGGAGCAGTGCTAGTGCCACTGCCTGTGCCTGAGACTGCATCCCCTCCAAGGGCACCAGCCATAACCCAGCCCCACCACCACCATGACAACAAGCACTAGCACCAGCATGACAGTCTCCTCCATCCCCGTTTCCCTTCCCATACTGAGCCTTCCAGTGCCAGAGGAAGAGCTGGAGTTGGATCTGAATGCCCTAGCAAAGGAAATATCGGGGATGGAGGGGGAATCAGCTGAGTTTGTGCTCCACACCTCTCAGGTTTCCCCTAGAGCCAGGTCTTCCCCAGAAGGCACTTTGGAGGAGGCTGAGGTAGAGGTTGCGGAGGCAAGCAGCTCAGCTGAGTCCACTCCACCTGTTGCTGTACCTCTGCCTGCTGAGCAGGGGGAAATTGCAGCATCCACACATGCACCCACACCCCAGAACTGAGCAGGTAGTGTGGTCTGGGACCATTATGAGCTGGCAGATGATCCCACATAGGCTATCTGCCTGCACTGCTGAGCCAAAACCATCCAGGGCAAGGAAACAAAACACATGAGCACTACAGGGGTGCTGATGCATCTCCACAGGCACCACCCCTTTGCCTTTGCTCCTCCTCAGCCTGGCACTGGTGGGAGCATGCCCAAAGGAAAGTCTCCCTCTCACTCCAATGCCTCCATCCCCCTGAAGCAGAGGCAAGCTCCCCTGGAACAGTGGAGGAAAGGTGGACAGAAAGAGGGATGCATTGCAAGGGTGAGTGAGATCACCCAGAGCATTGGGAAGATGCTTGCTGTGGATGGCCAGCCCTTCACCTTGGTAGGATGGGGCCATGAGTGCCATGAACTGCCTGAACCCTGGCCATTCAACTAAGTACCCACATGCACCACCTTTAGCAGGACAGTGGTGCCCTCCCTGTATGAGGCATGCAGGGAGTACTTGAGGGAGGAGCTGCACAAGGCAGTTCTGCAGGTGGTCTTACACTTCATCTCAGACATCTGGAGCAGCCAGGGTGGAGATCATGCCTACTTCTTTCTCACAGGGCACTGGTACAACCAGTCAGACTGTCAATGGGCTCTCCTTCAAGCGGAGGTGATGGATGAGTCCCACACGGCAACAGAGATCATGGGGGCCATGAACTGCTTGGTGCAGCGGCTGGCTAGTTGGGCAGGGCGAGCTCACCTGTGAATTCATGGTCACTGACAATTGGGCCAATATGGTCAAGGCGGTCCATGATGCCAACTTTGTTGGCATTCGCTGTGCAGCACACAAGTTCCACCTCATTGTCAGGGATGCTTTGGAGGGGGACAGGCCTGCCAGTGATGGCACCATCACCACCAGCAAGCTCATTTCCAAATGTAGGAAGGTGGCAGGCTACTTCCACCAGAGCATCAAGGGGGGCAAGATGCTGTAGGACAAACAAGCAGAGCCAAACATCCCGCAGCACAAAATCATGCAGGATGTGGAGATGTGGTGGAACTCCACATACCAGATGCTTGAGAGGCTGGTGGAGCAACAGAAGGCCATCCGTCAGATGGCCTTGCTTGGGGAGATTGGGATCAGCGGCCCCCTTAACAGAGCTGAGTGGGATACCATCTCTCAGATCTTGGTGGTCCTCAAGCTCTTCCTTGAGGCCACCGAGAGCCTCAGCCCTGGCAATGCCAAACCCGGTATCAGTGGACAAAGGCACTGGTGAAGAGAGTCAGAGAGGCAGAACAGCGGAGGCAGGGGGACGTGGAAGAGGGTGATCCACTGTCCCATGTTAGCATGCCATCCACCAGCCAGTCTCCTCCTCCACCAAAGGCACTGCCAATATGGGCCAAGCACATGGCTTCCACAGTGGGGTCCAGAGGCACCATACCCCACCATCAGGCAGACAGCACTCAACCAGAGGTGGCTACCTATCTCACTGGGGACGTGGAGCTGCTGCTGTGTGACTCTTGCCCTACTGGGCAAGCCACATCCAGATGTGGCTGGATCTGCCCACTGTTGCCCAGGAACACCTGTTCTGTCTACTGGCCAGTGTTCCGAGTGAGAGGGTGTTCAGCATTGCTGGGGATGTAGAGACACCCCACCACACCTGCTTGGATCCTGGTTTGGTAAAGCAGCTGGTGTTCCTCAAGGTGAACCTCCCGCTGCTGGGGTTCCCTAAGCTCCAGGTGCAGACAGAGTGAACGCCACCCTCCTCACTGTCCTCACCCATTTTCTTATTTCAATTTTTAAAAGCCATTTAATGCCCCCTCAGAGCTGGAGGGACACTCACTGCATCACCAGCCAGCAGGGGAATAACATGTCTCTGCTGAGCTTCCATGACAGGATGAACATGAAGGTATGGACTGGGGCTATGGAGAAGGGGGAGATCCCAGGTCCTAGGCATGACCACTAAAACTGCACTCTGCCAGGGTCAGAGAGGCCTGGTGGGACTACTGGTGGTGTGGCAGCCCCAGGAAATGCCAGGACTGAGGATCCTCTGGTGAAAGGCAGGTAGGAGGCATCATAACCTCCAGCTACCACATGCACACACACAGTCCTGGCTGGGGAAAGCCCAGACCTGTCATGTCTTTGACAGGCCTGAGGCTTGCTGGTTTCAGTGGAGGTGTGAGGCTCCAGGTGAGCTCAGCTTAGCTTCCTGGGATGCCAGCTTTTGGGTTGAAAAACCCTTTGTTAGGCTGAGGAAGCACATGCAGCTTGTGTGTGTGTTTGCTGTTCCTGGATGGAAGGAATAGTAAAGCCAGAGGCTGGCATGCAATGCAGGCAAGAAAGCCAGTCAGTGAAAATGGAAATGGAGGCATCAGGGGGTGAGGGACAGGCTGGGGTCGGGGTGCGGATGGGAGCGGGGCAGGGGAAGGAGGGGAAGTAGCATTGCAGGTAAAAGTGCAGAGGTACCTGGGGAGTCAGATGTCTGGCAGGTTGTAATGCGTCAGAAATCCAATGTGCATATTGAGTCCATAAGTTTCTGTACCTAGAAGGCTGATGAAGTGCAGTTCATAAGCTCATCTGTGAAAAAGTGTTTTTTAAATTCCCTTTGAGGATCAGGCCTGAGAGATTAGAGACAGGTGGTGTTCTGTTCTTTGATAGTTTTTCTGTGTGCGCTCATTTTGGCGTGTAGTTGTTGCTTGGTGTTTTCACATATTTTCCATCAGGGCACTTGGTGCCTAATTCGGTCCCTAATTCAATTTAGCAGAGATTCAGTCTGATTTGGTGGCCGAATCTCCAAATTGAATCAGAGGACCCTTTAATCTCTCCGAATTGAATCGGAACCTTCTGAATCGATTTGGAGAGATTCAAAAAGATTTGGAGATTCAGACATAGACACAGCTTTAAATGTTTTTGCTACATACCTCTAGATAGCAGGTGGCTCATGAATGCTGTGGTGCTGGGGTACATGGATTGTCTCTCAGAAGTGCGGGGGGCTTCCCAGTGTGCTTAGCAGCAGACCTAGAAGTGGACCAGAAGTACTTCCGGTCCACTTCCAAATCTGCTGGAGAGTGCACTGGGAGTCCCCTCGGTGACTGGTGCCTCCCAATCACTGAGCCGAGCAGATGCTGGGGGGGCAGACCTGGAAGTGGACTGGAAGTACTTCCGGTCCACTTCCGGGTTTGCTGCCAAGCATGTGATGCCCCCCCCCCCGGTGCTCCTGGTGGACACTCCATCCACCCCAGCATTGCAGCGTTCACGAGCTGCACCTGGTACCTCAAGGTATGTAGAAAAACATTTAAAGCTGTGTCTATGTCCAAATCACTGATTCTCCGAATCAGCATCAAATCTTCAGATTCAGATTCAGCCAAATGGAATCAGGGACAGTTATCCGAATTAAAGAATGGACTCACTGTCCCTGATTCAGGCCAAATTTGAATCCAAACCAGAACACAGGGCCTTGGGCACATCTAAGCCCCAGGGCTGGGGCCAGCAGGGAGATCCCTCTCCCCATCTAACCATTTGCATTGCCCTCCACTGGCTTTCTTCAATTTGTCTGCCTCCTTTCTGTAGGCAGCATGAGGGGGTTGGGGGGCAAAACTACACACAGTACTCTAGAAGTGGCCTCACCCGTGCTGAATAGAGGGGATTAATCACTTCTCTTGGTCTGCTAGCAACGCTCCTACCAAGGCATCCCAGTATGCCGCTAGCCTTCTTTGCAATAAGGGCACACTATTGATGTCATGCTAGCTAAACATCTTAAGGCAGCTACCCATGCAGAGACTTTACTGCTGACCTTGTGAAAGTGAAGGTCCGCACTGGCCTGGAATGAAGCAGAAGCACCAGGGCTGGTACCCCATATTGTTGTTGGGAGCTTATCAATATGTCTTACATTGAGTGGGGCCATAAATCTAGGGAATTGTCAACAGTCAGTCCAATCCCTCAAGGTCGCATCAAAAGAAGACAGCATGTTTACTGGGATCCATGTGACAAACCCAAACACAATATACACTGAAAGATTTTTTTAAGTCCCACAGCCAGGGTGTAACCAACCTGCAAAACTGAACATTTTCACTGGCTGCACTCCAGACACCATTTGGCAGAGCAACTACAAATGAGCACTGCTGCAGGCAAATGAGATTTCACCCTAGAAACTCCTCTCCCCCACCCCCCACTCCCTCCCTCCTCGTCCTCCCAGAGGACCAGAAAAGGCTCATGCCTCCAGGAACTGATGCTTGGGTTTCCCAGCCCTCCTGGCTCCCATAGCAGGCAGATGGAGCCAGGCCTCTGGGTTTTCCCAGGTAGGTGACAGAACACAGAATTTCACAGCTCAGTCAATGCTGGGTTGTGAGCAGCTGCATTGATTCTGGCCCCAGGCTGGAGAGCGGGTCTGGACAGGGGACTCACCATAAGTGCCTTGGTGTCTCTCTTGTCTGCAGACTCTGCATTTGTACCTGGGAGGCCCAGACATGGAACCTGAGATACTGAATCCAGGATCGCCGGCCAGACACAGAGCACCAGAGAAATGTGCGTAGACAGTGCTGGCAACATGAGGACCAAGGGGGACCATCGATGTGGGGGGTTGGAATGGGCAGATTGGTGACCACTTGTACCCGTGATACCACTGCACTTTAACAAGCTGCCTAGGCCCAGGAATGCACTGCGAAGGTCCAAGAATTAGGTATATTGATGCTCACCCACTGTTTGAGGGAGGTCACATGCACTGCTATGGAGCTGAGAGATTCACAGAGCCAGGGTAAGGAGTTTATGCACAGGGTCAAAGGCTGCTTGGGATTCAACTACAACACCCCAGAGAGGCATCAGTGCCACCTTTGTAGGGAGACTGTTGCCCTCCCATGCCAGAGTGGTGGGGCAGACTGTTGCTCACCCCACCCCACCACAGACACCTCACTGTGGAATACCTGAGAGCCCCACAGGGGGAGCCCCACATGGTAGCCATGGGGTAACACTCCACTCCACACATTGATTTGGGGGATGCTGGAGGGCAGCAGGGGATCTGGAACAGGAGATATGGTACATGGGAGCCAGTGATCCATGGTTTGAAGAGCCAGAAAGGCACTTGGCAGGGTTTGCTCTGGGGTACAGCAGTACAGGACGGGGTGAGGAGGGACCAGACTGCCCAAGACCTGATGCCAGGGCTGGCATTGGCTCAGCCCACCTTTCAGGGCCAACTCGCTATGCCTGGCTACTAGGGGTCACCAGCATAGGCACAGGGTCTGAAAGAAAATGGGGTGGTGGGAGGGGAATGCCACCAGCCTATCCAGACAGCAGTGGGTCTGGGTCCCACTGCAGAGAATGGCAGCCCCTGGGCTCTGCTCCAGGTTCTGGAGTGGGCAATGTTCCACAGCTTGTCTTTATTATGCACACAGAAAGTTTGGCAGCTGAAACATTTAGTTAAACTGAGGGAAGCAGTTTTGCACAAGGCATTCCCCCTGCCACCACAAGTTTTCATGTTTAAGTTGAGCTCCCCCCACCCCGCTATAGCATAACTGCTTGGTGCAAGCAGGGCCTTTCCCCACTCTCTCAATGTCAAATAAGAAGTAGGTTCCAAGTTCCAGAGTGGGCAACATTACACAGTTTGTGTTTATTAAACACACTAACATGTTGGCAGCTTCAACATTTGATTACAATGAGGCATGTCTCTTCCTCATGCCACCTTACCCAGCTCCCAGGGTCTGTTCCTGGGGGAGTTGGCCAGGGAGAGGGGAAGGGGGACAAAGCCTAGGCAGCCTGAATTCTTGTCAGTGGTACCCATGACATGGGGTTAGAGGGGGCTGCGACATGAGACCCACAGTGCCAGGACATGGGCATTCAAAGTCCTCTGACTCTACTCTTCTGGGGAGAACTCCTGGTCCATGATGGTGGGGAGGCAGTCAGCCAGGGTTTCATGGATCTAGCTAGCCTGCCATGGTGTGGGGCCAGGGTCACATAGGAGAGATGCTCACTCTCTCCCTCATCCCTGCACCACATGTGGTCATGGTGCCAGGCCCAGTCTGTCGTTGAAGTACTCTTCCAGCAGTCCAGCTGTCCCCCATAGGGCCTCATGAGCCAGGGCAGAAGGGTATAGGCTGGGCCCCCAGCAAGGATTGGGGGGCCATGACATCACCAATGATAAAATCAGGGACCTTGGGAGTGTAAGGCCTGCTCTCCATCACCCTGGGGAACAGGGTGCAAGAGGCAGGCATCGTCTTCATCGGCTACACGAAAATCGGTGGCCTAGCTGTGCCCCAGATGCTTGGGTTCTGTGTGTGTGTGTGTGTGGCATCCAGGTGAGCAGCCATGATGTCCCTGCCAGCCATTCTGGGGTGGTTCAGCCATTTGGCTCTGCTCAGGAGTCTTCAGCAGGCCAGGGAGCCCATAAACCATGCACGAACCCCCCCCCCCCCCAAGGGCTAATGTGTTCTTCTTCCTCCCCACCTAACCATGGGTACTTAAGAGTACAGCTTGAAAGTTAGAGTGTTTATGCAGCAGGCTTCTTGAATGCCTGTACTTAGCCTGAGATGTATGTGTGAAAATCTCTACACTCTTTGAGCTGAATGATTATGTGTTTCTCTTTGGTGCTGTTATGTGTGATAGCGTACCTCCCTTTGTGGCTAATATTCGGTCATATCAGACACATAGGCACCACCATGAGAGAAATTTGGATAGCTTTATGAAGCTTACATCACCACCATCATTTCATCAAAGCATTCTTTCTACGTGCTTTCCAAAACACTGACAAAATAAAAATAAAAACCATGAACAAATCTATTCTGCTGCTTACAAAGTGAATCCCTCCACAATATCTCTCTGCTTTGATTGAAAGCAAATTGACAAATGCGGTGTTTCTGCTTATCTGGAACTATGATTATGGCTAATTGCTGTGATGTTCAGGTTTATGACCTGTAACATGAATATTGCTCTTGTCATGGCTTCACAAAGCCAGTTTATAGATGGGTTTGTCCACCATCCACTCTGGTATGTCTACAGCTGTTGTTCTGGATGTCAGCATGGAGTCTGAGGCAAGAGAGAGGGAAATATGAATGAGAAATAGGTAAAACATAAATGTCAAGCGGTGCTTTTTATAGACCAAGGGCACAGTGCTGGCTAGCCTTTTAAACTCTGTGAGGTACAGAAAGATGTGCTGGTAATTGAAAACATGCAACCTGGGGATAAGAGTAGAATTCAGCTTCCCTTATCATCAGGCAATTGTAGAACCTGCGTGTTTACATCCTTAACACTGTGATGCATGCATTGTGTTTCACGGGGACTTGTATTAAGCCAGCTTGCCTATTTGCTTCGCTGCATATTGAAAGGTAGGTATCAGCATGAATCTTCATCTTCCATGCTGATATGTAAATCAGAGGTCAGTCCACTGAAACAGCAAAGTTACACTGGTGTTTCAGGGACTGGAATGAGGGCCCTCAATGTCAGCATGGTAGTTCTAGCCTTACACATGTGTATGAGACAAGCAAGGGGCTCTTCATCACTTTTCTCAGCAGAATGGATCCATGAGTTACTACTAAAAGTATCAGATCAGTGATGAGAGTCTGAAGCATTTGTCCTCCAGATAATACCCCTGCTCATGTAGAAAATCGTCCAGAAAGACATTCACTGTGCTGTTTCAAAGCCAATGAACCACCAGCTCTCTGGTGTTAGTGTAAGCATCTGTTAAGGGTTCTGGAGCAGACTGGGTAGATGTCACGCACTTTCACAACATATAAGAGCCTCAGGTGGTAGAAGCTGGCATCGTCCATTGACTCCAAAGGGACAATCCTGACTTAGAGCGTCTGAGAATCTGGCCCAGAGGTTTTTTGCAGAGCCTGTGGCTACTAGCAACTAGTGAAGTGGACACAGGGCCAGAATTAGGCCCACAACTAATGTTACACTTAAGACACTATTAACCAGTTAATTGTGCCTTAACATGCAACCCAACCATGCATTCAAGCAATTAATGGGGCAATAAAACATGAATCCAGCCACAAAGTTATTACACAAACTACGTCTAATAACTTTGTGGCTGGTTAATAGGGCTCTGCAAAGCTTCGGTAGCCAATTTGATTTGGAGGAGATTCAGTCCAATTCAGCAGCCGAATCTCCAAGTTGGAATCGAATCAGGAGACTCATTAAAAGGTCTGAATTGAATTGGAAGCCTCCGAATTGATTTGGAGAGATTCAGAGAGATTTGGAGATTCAGAAGACTTGCAGCAAACAGAAACTGAGAAGAGGGAGGGGGATGGGGTTGTCTTCCATATATGGAAAAGGCTGGGGGGGCACGGGGGGAGGAAGACTGCACCAATATTGACATCTGTACCTGGCCAGTGACCATGATCTTTCTCTGAGTTCCCTTCCAATCACAGTGCTCTGGGGGAGGGACGTAGAAACAACATATAAAGCTGTGTCTGAAGTGATCTGTGCCTTTTGTGAGTTGTGTCTCTCTTGGAGCAGCAGCATCTGAAAGGATCTGGATTGCTATCTAGTCTCTTGCTAGCTAGTCTGTCTTCTTGTAATTTGTATCCAATTCTTTCGTACTTACCCTTGCCTAAATTTCCTACTGTTATCCCTATCCACTCCTTTCAACTTATTCTTCCCCCCAAATCCTCTTATTTGTTCATGTTAGTCTGTCTTCTTTCCCCTGACAAAAAGAAATCTGTGTTTTCCCTGACAGTGTGTCATCACTGTGCAGGAAAGCACAACATACATTACACACACACACACACACATTTTGCAGCACTCCAAACATTCCTGACTCTGTTCACCAGCACCTCCGTCCAGTGATCGAGCATTTTACTGGTGCAGACGCCCCCCTTCACCCTCAGCACACACATGGCCGCCACCATGCGGACTGTACATGACCGCAACTGATCCAGCTGTTTTTTCATGCCCTCCTTCATCTGCTTCACCAGTGCCTGCACCTTTGGTGAAAGCGGCGTGCCCCAGCCGGAAACATCGATCCCCTGGAATATCTCCATTTGATTCTCCAGTTTTGCTTTCAACAGTTTGAGGTGCACTTTCATAGAAACCCCTGCACCTAGCTCCTTGAAACTTGGCAGGTTTCATGCCCTCAGAAAGGGCTACCATCCCTGTTGTTTTCATCCAAATCTTCAAAAACATGACAAAGTTATAGATATTTTAGTGATTCCCCATTATAGTCTATGCCTGAATATCCGAATCGAATCGGGACAGTGATTTGAATTACCGAATCAAATCACTGTCCCTCCAAATCAGCTGGATCCAAACCCAAAGTGAATACTTGATGCTTCACACAGGCCTATTGGTTACCATTGTGCCTAAAACTGAATGTGTGGCTTGATTACATTTTAAGACAGTGCAGGTAGAGCATGGGATAATGATCGTGGGCAAATGTTGTACAATTGGGATCTAATTCACAATCCAAAAATGTGGCATGGCAGGAGGTGCAATTGTTAGGATCATGGATTAGATCCCATCATGCTTTCATATGACTGTCAATCAACAGTCTGAGATATAGCTATTGCTACTCCTTAGGAAACTCAGGGGGATTCCCC